AGTCCACCACTGGCTACATGACCGTATGATCGCCCATATTGACGCACCTAATTCCTAAACTTCTAACAGATACAACATAAACCGATCCTTCAGCCTCATATGAGCTCTCAGACACGTTCAAAATTAAACTGTCATCGCTGTCTGAGTTTGCTGCTGTGTGTGCGCCATCGTTTACATGCAGATGCTGGGATCCTGAACGGTGCAGCTGGAGCACTGTGCCCGCAATGACGTCACACATAATTTGGCTGGACTTGAAGAATCCCCGAGAAGATCCAGAAAATTGTCAACATTGAAGGGCAGATTAATGGTTATCAAAGTACAAATATCCAAAATCAGTTCAGTAACGGTTTTCAAGGGGACAATATTTACTCAAATTGATGGGTTTGGATGATGGGGGAAACTCGTGTCACAGGCTCTTTAAGGTTGATTGGTCAAAGACTGAACAGTTAATTGAGTCAGCATTACTGTGACACTATTTTTTTGTAATGAGAAACATCAGTCATTCATTGTTCTCTGTGCTGTGTGTAGCTGTATAATGCGTATGCAGAGTGTCAGACACACCTCCAGCTGGAGAAGCAGGAGACCCGCAGAGTGAACAGAGTTCTTGACGAGATCGTCATGGAGGTGGAGTCCAAGGCTCCAGTCCTGAAGCGTCAGAGGGAGGAGTACGAGAGCATGCAGAGGTCCATGGCTTCACTGTGCAACAAGCTAGAGCAGGCCCGGAAGGTTAGCAAGGATTCACATTCATTCGGTTTGTCACATGTTATACATGTATTCTATCTACATGTATTATCAAGAAGTAACTATTCCCCTTTTCTCCTCTAGAAAAGGACATATTAAGTTTAACATGACGTGTTTTGTCTTTGTCATCAGGAGATCTACAGTTTGCAGAAAGAGAAAGAGGAGGCCAAACAGCGCTATGATTCCATAGAGAGAGAAAAACAGAGGATAGATAGGCAGCTAGAGGATACATCTACACAGGTACACATACTTCAAAGAAATCCAAATCCAGTTGAATTCATCTGATAAGATCCACATTACTATTCTGCCAATATGGTCATTCAGTATAGGCTGTCCAAAGAGCCAACAGGAACTAAACACAGGAGAAACAATGACATACAAATTGTGGGTTCCACTACTTCTGTGTGCGTTTGAACATTTACTCCTCCTTAAAACACACAATCTGAACCTCTTCCCTTATTATAAAGTAGTGTATGTGCAGGCTCCCACCTCTGTCAGTGCCAAAACGTGTGCATAGGTCAAAGCAATAAGGTGTTCTAACGACTTACTAATCATGTAAATAGGGAATTAAATAATATATTTTCTTAAAGTAATCCTGATTAAAATGCTAAACTAGAAGGATGAGCGCCACCCCCTCAATAGAAACCGTCCTTCATGTTTCTGTCCCCGCCACTTTCTGTTTGCAACGGACTTTCAAAATAATATGAATAATAAACTGTTCATGCAAGATCAAATAATTGTTGGCCTTAATTAACGCGTTATTATCGTGCTAACTTGCCCAGCCTGCCGAGGAATATAGGCAATCGCGTCGATCGATCGTGCGTCTACGATTCGTTGTTGTTGTTATGGCCATTTCCAGAGAGAGGGTAGCGCGGTCTGTGTATGTGTGTGGCGAGCGGCCAGGAGGGCTTACCGGTTCAGGCACCGGACGGCCACTTCGCACCTTCACACCACGCGGTCGTCTCGCCCGCCGCCTCGCCCGGCAGTCGTAGTTCGAACATCTACCCCCGTAAAAATTTGAGCTACGCGAGACTTTGATTCGCCCCGCGGCTATCCTGTTTTTATCGTGTACGCAATTAGCCGCAATTTTATTAATCACCGCAATTAAAGCAAAAAATAATTGGGCGCAATTGAACTGTCGGGATTATATCATAATATATATATGCATAGTTGTATTATATATATAAA